TCTGACTGGTATTTTTTTTAATTGGYGTTTCTCCTTTACACTTTGTGGCTAATGTTTTCCTTTTATCAAGGTCTTGCATATTTTCAGCACCCACCCAGCTCTGTGGTATTATATGCATTTTTTAAAGGTCTGAATGACAAGTACATTGATATAAGTGAATCATCATTTTGCAGGCATAAAATTTTATCAGATTGGTTTTTAAGTAGATTTATACATTTAAGAAAGTGCATCTGCCACACATGATTAGCCCATGGAAGATAGAACATTTGTTCTAATAGTAAGTGATAGAATTTTGCACTTCAAACACATGAAGCAAGCTAGATAGTAAATTAGCATCTTGTTAAGTAGTTTCTGGATATCAGATACAGTAATCAAAACTAAACTAAAAGGATATTGTGCAAGATTAGGCAAAGTTTCCATTCCCTGCTAGTGCCACTGTTTTATGCTCCAAGGCTACACAATTTGAGTCTAAGTTGTAAAAAAACATAACTAGATCACTGAATAAAGCAACATAAAAGAACATTTGAAGTGCATTGTTTCCTGCAGGATGCAGAACAAATAAGCAATGTCTGCTGTTTCAAAGTCTGCAGTAAATCAGAATTATTTGAGAGAACGACAAACTTGCTAATGTGATGCAGAATTACCCCTTAATTTTTTTTTGATCTAAAAACTTGATTCAGAAAATCAAGAATTTTTTAAAGAAAAGAGAAACTCTTCAGTCAAAGGCTGAAGCATAGTATCAATCTGAACGAACCCACATATTTATATAATGATGCTCCCCATCGCACTTCAGGGTAACACATCTCTTTTCAGTCGTGTCGCAATTCCATAGGCCAAGTTATGAGTCTCGTGCAAACCAGGGTGATTCATTAAACCCCTGGAGGTATCAGATCCCCCAAAGAGTTGAGTATTTGGGGTTCCCTTGACTCAGCGGCTGTACCATCACTGCCTGTCCCTGGACCCTTCTCCATCATGTAGAGGTAACTCAAGTGCCTACAAACTGCGGACASCTGCATAGCTGCGATGTGGAGTTGAGATACTGCTTCTGCCGCCCTGGATAGTGGAGCAGAACAGAGAAAATCAAATAATTACAAGCTAGTGCTCTAGAGTTTAAGAAGCTGGAAGCTGCTTTCCCAACAACCAGCTACAAAAGCCCCTCTCCCTTGCAAGCATCGGCATATTTTCTAAATTAAGTTTGCACAGAGAGATTGGTAGGGAAATGTCCCATTAACATTTATATGTTCAATGACTTTATCCAGATGAGTGAAGGATTTTTCTAACTGTACTCATCCTGAATTGATTTATGCCTGTGAGTGCTTGCATAATTCTTCTTAAACGATATTTTCCAGAATCTTTTTTTTTTTCTACTAAAGTAATAGATAAGATCCCCCTGACTTTACCAAAAGGTTGAGTGAGACTTTGCAGTCAATAAAAAACCTGCACCACAGATAGTGGTGAAGGTGTGTTCAGGTTGGTGAAGAYACACCTTGTACTGTGGTGGCTAAGATCAAGCTTTTTTGGTTTAGTTTTAGTGCTCACTAAATTCATATATACATATACACACACATAATATGCAGTCATATACAACGACATGCTGCTTTTACTTATGCATTCATGATAATATGCTTTAGCATGGACACCTGCATAATATTTAACCTTGAGTCATAATMACAGTCCTATGCTTTAATTGGCTCTTCCTTATGTCTGTAGCTCCCACTAAGATATCCTGTCAGTCAAGTGTAAAAATTAAAAGTAAATTGAATTTTGARCATGGAGACTTTTATCTCTTACAGAACTTTCACATAAGTTTTAAATATTTTCTGTATTCAACTCTAATTATTCTTGTCATCTACACAAATAACTAAGCAGTTTGAATCCTGATAAGTTTAAGTTTTTGGCCTCAATCATTTCTTCTGGCAGTGGATCTAATTCTGTGACAAATTAAAACTGTTTACTTTTATTGTTTTAAAATTTTKGTTCATTCAGGTCCAAGGAATTCCCTCTTTCATTATGAGGAAAACAAGTAATGACTTTTTAAACCATTCACTAGTATATATTTTGGTTATGTCACACTTTATTCATACTCTTGCTAAGACAGGAGTATAAATTTTTCATGTCCCTAATGACTGTCATTGCTCAATTCTCACCCCATATCAACAGCACACTTTATAGACCAAGYGGCATGTTCCAGGGAAGGCGCAGTGCTCACAAAAGTAATAGCACAATAATATTACCATATTAGCTTAAATTTTAATCACATTATATCTTATTTGTGGGTTTGTCTTCAATGGCAAAAACTATTTATCCGAGATTTTCAGTGAGTAGTTCACAGTGGTTGTATCTCCATTGCTGTCACTAACTGCACTTCAGTTTGGACTCTTGCTCTCGGAGACGCAGGGTCCAAGGCTTCCCTTCCTTATGATGATGCCCAAGCTTCCCATCCTGGTTGGCCTTTTGGCTCATTCCAGACTAGAAACATTTTGAGAGGCAGCAGGGAAGCAATATGATGACAGGGAATTTGGGACTGGGCCCAAACTGAAGAGCAAAGGATACACATAGCTGAAACTGCTCAGGTCTTTTTTTTAACTTATTACAATGGTAACTTTACATACTTGTGGCAAGCACAAATGGTCCATATTAAACYGTATGAATATGCAACTTTTTTCACAACTTAGCAGGATCCCACTGAAATTATATATGGTCTCAACTAATATAAATCATTCTAACTCATCTGCAAAATCTGCTGTTCTGCAGATTACGCATTCTCAAGCAAATAATAAATATATTAAGCAATCTCATTCAAAAGSTGCAAAATTGTAGACACTTGCTATTTATGGTATGCTCAAAAAGATCATTTGTTAATACTCTTTGCTTTCTGACTCTTAATCAGGTTCTGATCTAGATGGTGTCATTTGAAATTAAAATAGACATTTACTTATTGACTGATGTATTTTTGATCTGGTCAGATCATTTATCAGCARGAGTAGTGCTTGGTGACATTGATAACATCTATATTTTTACTATTATTATTATTATTTCTTTTAAATACTAACTGATAAATCTTGAAAACAATGATGGATTTGAATATCAGGTAAATGAAGTGTGGGTCATACCTGCTGGGGCCACATTTCCTAAAAATCAAGGACTGATAAGCTAGTAAGGGCGAACATAAAACTCAAATGTGAAAAAAAAGCATTTGAAGATTTGTGTTAAAAATACAATGAGTAAGTATAAAAGAAACACCTTTGCAATACGATAGTCAGGTTTGAAAGGAGAAATATCACAGCGTGAAAGAGAAAATATACTATAATCACTTGATTAAGATTTTCTGGAGATTTTAATGTTTGAAAAATGATAGGGAACTGAAGTAATTCTGGGGGCTGAAAAAGCCAAAAAGTGTCATTGTTGGGTCAAATTAGTTGGAGGCAGCTTAGCAGGAAGCAGCGAGGGTGCAGTGCTATCGTTAACTTAAGTTACTTCAGCAAAGGCACAGCTGGAAGCAGCACGTGCCAGAATGAGCTTGTCAGTTTAGAAGTGTGCTACGCTATAAAGCACATTGCTCAGCACTACATGGTGTCACACAAATCTTTTTAAGAATCACCTGTTCAGCATCACATTTTAGAATTTTCTACWAATGTTCCTATTTTGAACTTACTCTGAACTTATCAATTCACTCATTTACTTATTCGCTTCTGCTGTCAGCAGCAATGAGAACCAGTTACTTAGAAGAGTCACACATTTTTGCAGAGAATCACGACTGCTACAAAAAGTTTTGSATTTCTTTTGGCAATAGTTTTAATACTTTAAAAATAAGATGTGGAAATATTCAAGACTTCTCAGAAAATGTTTAGTGCTATGTGGAACTGACCATACAATGAAAGTCTGTAATATTGAATCATGTTTAACAGTAATTCACTTTTTTTTTTTTTTTTTTTAAATCTTTGATCTGTATCAAAAGATTGGGCAGATAAAGATCAACACAATATCTGTCAGACCTTTATAGAGAACATCGGGTCACTAAAGGTCAAGAGCAAACCAGTGTTAATTAGAAATTTTAGTTTCCGATTCTATTTTACTAGCATATGAAAGACATTTTATGGGTGGAAAGTTTGTGCAGCTGCATGTGCTGTTCTGTAGAAATGAATTAGAAGCATGCAAATAATATAARGAAACAATCTGCGCATTTGCATCCAATTTGTATACGAACACCAACTGTGGCTTGTATTTAACACACCCTGCCTCTGGGGGTGACCAGGAAGGACATGGAGCTGGTGTTGACGCTCTGGCACGTGGCCCAGGGTGACACAAGAGCTGAACACGGGCTAGTAAGCCAGGGTGCATGGGTTTATAGGGATATGTGACCAGAAACTGGGGTTATCTCAAAGCCACCCAGGTTATGCAGGCCCCTGGAGGAGGCTGGATCTTAAGACTGGATAAAAGGTTGGAGAGACAAATGAAATATTAAACGTGTTGACTGGAAGATTGAGACAACTGATCTGAGAAACACTGATGGAGGGATGTGCCCAGCAACTCTTGAGCAAGGTGGGGAGCTGAGGAACCCGGTGAGGAGCTGACCAAAAGCAGCGCTTGAGGCGAGGCTGTCAGAGTCGGGGGTCATGCTGGCACCTCTATGCACTGAGGTGCCTGGCAACGCAGCGCTGCCGCCATTGCGAGCTCCTCTCTCTTCCTCTCGCCTCAAACCCGCTCCCAGCCCTAGCGCTTCAGGGCCAAATAATGGCGGGCGCCGGGGCCGGCCCCGCCCCCGTGACGTAGCGAGCGGCGCGCCTCGTGCCCGCGCTCGTGCCGCGTCACGCGGGAAGCAGTGGTGGCGCGTGCCGCTGCGCATGCGCATGAGCGCGCGGCGGGCGGAAGGCGAGGCGGCGCGCGCCTGCGCACCAGCCTCCCGCGAGGCCCCCGGTGAGCACCAACATGGCGCCCTAGGCCCGCCGGTGCTAGCGCCAGCGCGGGGGAGCGACGCGGCCGTTGCCGCCGCCGCCGCCGCCGCCATCATGTCCCGGCACCGGAACGTCCGAGGCTACAACTACGACGAAGGTAGTGGCGAGCGGGAGCCGGCGGCGCGGCCGCGGGGGCCGCCCCGTCGCTCTTCTTTCCGTCGCCGTGAGCCGCCACCGGCGCCATCCGGCAGCGCGGAGCCGCGGGGGGAGCGGCGAGAGGGAGCGGGGCGGCCCCTGCCTGCCCCCCCGCCTGCCCGGTGTGCGCCAGGCCGCGCTCCGCTCCGCCCCGCAACGCTCCGGCCCGGCCCGCGCGGGGAGGCGCAGGCCG